AACAGGCCCGCGTCGCCCGGGCACCCCGGGGCCACCCTCCGAACACCCACGCCTGAGCGTGTCCTGGGCTCCTCTGCTCGCTGCAGGCGCTCATGCGGGGCAGGAGGGGTTTTTACGGGGGCAGGTACACACGAAGCTGACCATGTGACCCCGTCAGGTGCACAGTTCGGCTACAGTAAGTACCTTCACGCTGGCGCGCCACGATCCCACCTTCCTCTTTTTACTGAAGGTTCGCTGTGTGGGTGTGTGCGTTTCTTAAAAAAAAAAAAAAAATTTACTTATTTATTTGAAACAGAGAGGGAGATCTCCCTTCCATCCCCTGGCTCTCTCCCACATGGCCACACCGCCTGGAGCCAAGCCAGGCCAAAGCCAGCAGCCAGGAGCTCCATCCGGGTCTCCCCTGTGGGTGCAGGGACTCAAGCACCAGGACATCTTCTGCTGCCTCCCCAGGCCATAGCGGGGAGCAGGAGCAGAAGAGGAGCAGCTGGGATACAAACTAACGCCCGTATGGGATGCGGGCGGCACAGGCGGTGGCTTTGCCGCTATGCCACAGCACCGGCCACATGCAGTCAGAGAGGGAGACAGAGACAGAGAGATCTTCCTGGGCTGACCCAAATGGCTGCAGTGACCAAGCTTGGGCCAGACCAAAGGCAGGACCCACACAGGTGGCAGGGGCCCAAGCACTCAGGCCCAGGCCCTTTAGCAGGAAGCTGGAGCTGAAGTGGAGCAGCCAGGACTTGAACCAGTGTTCGTATGGGATGCCAGCCACGGGCAAGGGCATAACCAGCTCCGTCACAACACACCCCTGGTTTGCATATTTGTAAATAACGCTTTTTTTTTTTTTTTGACAGGCAGAGTGGACAGTGAGAGAGAGAGAGAGAGAAAGGTCTTCCTTTTCTGTTGGTTCACCCTCCAATGGCTGCCACGGCCAGCGCGCTGCGGCTGGTGCACCGCGCTGATCCGATGGCAGGAGCCAGGTGCTTCTTCCTGGTCTCCCATGGGGTGCAGGGCCCAAGCACCTGGGCCATCCTCCACTGCACTCCCTGGCCACAGCAGAGAGCTGGCCTGGAAGAGGGGCAACCGGGACAGAATCCGGCGCCCCGACCGGGACTAGAACCTGGTGTGCCGGCGCCGCAAGGCAGAGGATTAGCCTAGTGAGCCGCGGCACTGGCCCCTTTTTTCTATTTCCAAAAGCGACACAGTTCAATTTTTCTTTATTTATTTGGGAGGCAGAGACAGAGAGAACTACCACTCTCTTGTTTATTCGCTTGATTTTTATTAGCGCTATTTAACTTGTAAGACGACCGCCTAGTCGCGCCGGAGCACGTGGTTCAAGACCCATTCGGGGCACTGGATTCTGTCCCGGTTGCTCCTCTTCCAGTCCAGCTCTCTGCTGTGGCCAGGGAGTGCAGTGGAGGATGGCCCAAGTGCTTGGGCCCTGCACCCCATGGGAGACCAGGAGAAGCACCTGGCTCCTGCCATTGGATCAGCGTGGTGTGCCGGCCGCAGCGCACCGGCCGTGGCGGCCATTGGAGGGTGAACCAACGGCAAAGGAAGACCTTTCTCTGTGTCTCTCTCTCTCACTGTCCACTCTGCCTGTCATAAATAAATAAATAAATAAATAGTCCCCAGGTGCCTGCAGTGGCTGGGGCCGGGCAAGGCGGAAGCCCGTATGGGTGGCAGGGATCCCACTGCAGAGCCACCAGCTGCGGCAGCCAAGGGTTACATGGGCAAGAGGCTCAAGTCAGGAGCAGGGCCGGAACTCCGATACGGGATGTGGCTGCTGTAACCAGCGCCTTCACCACCCTGTGAGTACTGTTTTCTAAAGATTGATTTATTTATTTGAAAGGCAGAGTTACAGAGGAGAGGCAGAGAGAGGTCTCCCATCCACTGGTTCACTCCCCAATTGGCCGAAACAGCTGGAGCTGGGCCGATCCAAAGCCAGGAGCCAGGAGCTTCTTCCAGGTCTCTCACATGGGTGCAGGGGCCCAAGCACTTGGGCCATCTTGTACTGCTTTCCCAGGCCATCACAGGAAGCTGGATCGAAGTGGAGCATCCAGGACTCAAACCAGTGTCCATACGGGATGCCGGCACTGCAGGCAGTGGCTTTACCTGCTACACCACAGCACTGCCCCCCCATCTTTATTTTTTAAAATAAAAATTTAGGGGGCAGAGGCTGTGGCACAGCATCCCATATCACAGTGCCGGTCAGAGACCCGGCTGCTCCCCTTCCCAACCAGCTCCCTGCTAATGCACCTGGGAAGGCAGTGGAAGACGGCCCAACTGCTTGAGTCCCTGCACCCGCGTGGGAAACCTGAACGGAGTTCCTGGCTCCTGGCTTCACCTGGACCAGATCCAGCTGTTGCAGCCATTTGGGGAGTGAACGGATAGAAGAGCTCTCTGTTTCTCTCTCTCTCTCCCCCTTCCAAATAAATCCTTAAAAATAAATAAATGAGCAGCTGGCACTGTGGCACAGCAGGTTAAAGCCCCAGCCTGCAGTGCTGTGGTCCCACACGGGCACCAGTTTGAGTCCCAGCTGCTCCACTTCTGATCCAGTTCCCTGCTAATGCGCCTGGGAAAGCCATAGAAGATGGTCCAAGTCCTTGGACCCCGGCACCTGCATGGGAGACCCGGAAGAAGCTCCTGGCTCCTGGCTTCGGATTGGCCTAGCTTCAGCTGTTGCAGCCATTTGGAGAGTGAACCAGTGGATGGAAGACCCCTCTTTCTGTTTCTATGTCTCTCTGCAACTGTCTTTCAAATTTAAAACATAAAAATAAATAAATGAAATAAAAATATAGATAACACAGAGAAAGAAGAATAAGATGATACATGGATCTGTGTGGGCAGAATGAACTGCTGAACACCCGAGAAAATAACAGGCACTAACATTTACCCACGTTTCTCTGCGTGAGGAATGGGTAGGCCTAACGCCTCTCTCTTTTTTTTTTTTTTTTAAGATTTATTTATTTATTTATTTATTTTTTTTGACAGGCAGAGTGGACAGTGAGAGAGAGAGACAGAGAGAAAGGTCTTCCTTTTTGCCGTTGGGGAGTGAGCGAGCGGGTGGAAGACACCCGCCCCTCTCTGCCTCTCCTTTCTCTGTGTAACTCTGACTTCTGAATAAATAAATCAATCTTTTTAAAAGATTGATTTATTTACATGAAAGGCAGAATTAGAGACAGAGAGACAGGGAGAGAGAAATTCCATCCACTGGTTCACCCCCCGAAATGACCACTATAGCTGGGGCTGGGCCAGGACGAAGCCAGGAGCCTCTCCCGGGTCTCCCACATGGGTGCAGGGGCCCAGGGACTTGGGCCATCCTCTGCTGCTTTCCCAGGCGCATTAGCAGGGAGCTAGGTCAGAAGTGCATCGGCCGGGACTCAAACCAGCGCCCACACGGGATGGCGGTGCCACAGGCGGAGGCTCAGCCCACTACGCCACCGCGCCAGCTCCTCATTCCCGTTGTTGCAGCAGGAAACCGAGCCATCAGTGACTTGTGTATCTTCAGTCATCAAATTTGTAGGTCCCAGCGCACGGGACTCAAAACCAGACCCTGCCCCACGCCGCTGCCCCTCTCCACCTCCACACTCGACTGCCTCCCACGACCCTCTCGTTTGTCCTGCGAATGCCGGCCTCTTACTTCTCGTTGCGGCTTTCTGCCATAGGTGCCGTCTCTGCTGCGTCTTACATGTGAAGACGTTTGCCAGACAACACGTTGCCCGTGGGACAAACACGTACACGGGACTCAGGCAGCGAGGCGCACGTCAGAATATGGGCGCTAGCCCTGCTCTGGCCCTTGGCTCCAGCTCGCTGCTGGTGCACACCCTGGAAGCAGTAGGTGGGGCCCTGCCACGCTCGTGGGAGACCTGGATGGAGTCAGTGCTCCCAGCTTCAGCCTGGCCCAGCCCTGGAGCCTGTGGGCATCTCACTAGTGCATTTCTGCAGGGCAACGCTCTTTCTCTCTCATTCTTGCTCTCCAGCTCTTGAAAAAATAAATAAATAAATCATGTGAAATTGCACGATACAGACATCTCTATATGGGCCAGTGCTGTGGCGCAGCAGGTAAAGCTGCCACCTGTGGCGCCGGACCCCATATGGACACCAGTTTGAGTCCCGGCTGCTCCACTTCAGATCCAGCTCCCTGCTAATGCACCTGGGAAAGCGGCGGAGGAGGCCCAGCTCCTTGGGCCCTGCACCCACGTGGGAGATGCAGAAGCAGCTCCTGGCTCCTGGCTCCAGATTGGCCCAGCTCTGGCCATTGCACCCACTTGGGACGTGAACCAGCAGATGGAAGATCTCTCTCTCTCTCTCTCTGTCTCTCTGTCTCTCTGTCTTGCTCTCTCTCTTTCAAATAAATAAAACAAATCTGTAAAAAGATCTCTATCGATACAGATAGGTAAATCAATAGACAGACAGATCTGTATCTCGCAACCCTTTCTCAGAAAGTCACTGCAGAGTGTGCTTCACCACGTGAGGACGTGACCCAAGAACGGAGACACAGGTCCAAGGGACAGGGAGACACGAAGGCGGCCCAGGAGTGGGGACAGGTCCCAGGACTTGCCCATGCAACACATTCCCTGCATCCCCTCGGCTGCAAGCACTGGCGTGCACGCTGGCGATTCATCAGTGGACGGAACACCAAAGTCTCCACCCTCGTAGAAGCCCAGCACGCCGGCAGCAGTGCAGGAAGAGAGCAAATCTTCCAGCAGTAGGGCATCACCAAGCCGCAGGAGAAAGACGACCAGGCGCGGCCTGTGGCTTCGCAGGAAGTCACTTGCCTTCAATGCCAGAATCCTTTATGGGCGCTGGTCTGTGTCCTGGCTGCACCGCTTCCAATCCAACTCCCTGCCAATGGCCTGGGAAGGGTGGTGGAAGGCAGCCCACACGCCTGGGCCCCTGCCACTCCTGGGGGAGGCCGGAGGGAGCTCCTGGCTCCTGGCTTCAGCCGGCCCAGCCCTGGCGGCTGCACCGTCTGGAGTGGACCAGTGGGTGGAAGAGCTCTCTTTTCTCTCTGTGATTCTCTCAAGTAAATAAATGAATCGAAAGGAAGGGAGGAAGTCTGGGAAGTGGGGTCCCGGGGTGCCGGGAAGGGGCACAAGTTTAGATTGATGGGAGAGCCACCCAGGTCAGCGCTTCAGCAGGGAGCACCAGGCCCAAGCAGAGCAGACTTCCAGGGGATGTCTCGCCGGATTCTCGCCAGAGTTGAACCGGGAAGCTGACAGAGGAGACGGGAAAACTCCAGAAAACAGCTGTGCCGGGAACGACGCAGGCTCCCCGCCCGCCACCCAGCTCCGTGTCTCAGCTCTGAGTGACGTCGGCAGCCATCAGCGGCAGCCACCGGGGAGATGGGCTGGCAAAGCCGGATCCTCACCTCTTCCGCCAGCCAGGCAACAGGTAAGGACCACAAACGGTGATGGCGTCCAGGATATAGGGCGGGCACGCGGCACGGTGGGTGACGTCGCCGTGAGGGGCTCCTGCGTCCTAGACTGAGTGCCTGGTTCAAGTCCCGGCTGCTCTGTGCTTCTGATCCAGCTTCCTGATAGTGCATCTGGGAGGAGCAGGTGACGGCACAGACGTGGGTCCCTGGCACCAGTGAGAGACCCAGTGACGTTCCTGGCTCCTGGCTTCAGCCCGGCCCAGCCCGTCTTCTGCTGTGGCACGGGGGTGTGGGCGTGCATGGACCGGGCCATCTTCTGCTGTGGCACGGGGGTGTGGGTGTGCATGGACCGGGCCATCTTCTGCTGTGGCACGGGGGTGTGGGCGTGCAGGGACCGGGCCTTCTGCTGTGGCACGGGGGTGTGGGTGTGCATGGACCGGGCCGTCTTCTGCTGTGGCACGGGGGTGTGGGCATGCAGGGACAGGGCTGTCGGCTGTGGCACGGGGGTGTGGGCGTGCAGGGACCAGGCTGTCGGCTGTGGCACGGGGGTGTGGGTATAAAGGGGCAAGGCTGGCCGGCGCTGTGACTCACTAGGTTAATCCTCTGCCTGTGGCACTGGCACCCCGGGTTCTAGTCCCGGTCGGGGCTCCGGATTCTGTCCCGGTTGTTCCTCTTCCAGGCCAGCTCTCTGCTGTGGCCCGGGAGTGCAGTGGAGGATGGCCCAGGTGCTTGGGCCCTGCACCCCATGGGAGACCAGGAGGAGCATCTGGCTCCTGGCTTCGGATCAGCGCGGTGCACCGGCTGCAGCGGGCTGGCCGCGGTGGCCATTGGAGGGTGAATCAACAGTAAGGGAAGACCTTTCTCTCTGTCTCTCTCCCTCACTGTCCACTATGCCTGTCAAAAAAAAAAATTAAATAAAAAATAAAAAAATAAAGGGGCAAGGCTGAACCACGCCTTCCCTTACAGCCTCTCAGAGCCTCAGAGCCGCCTGCCCTCCTCCGTGACCGATGAAGAGCAGGGACCAGGGCCGGTCTTCCTGGCAGTTTCGGCTCTCACTCCTGAGTGGAAAGCGAGAAGGCAAGGACGGCCAAGGCCGCCCAGCTTTACCACGGAGCCAGCGTGAGGACGAGCGTGAGAGAAGAGGCAGCGCTGCAGCACTGGGGAGTGCAGGAGGCAGCGAGAGGCCAAGTGAATGGCTTCAGATAACCCCACGCGCACCCGAGGCTGGCAGAAGGACGTGCCACACAGCGACCGCGTTCCCACTGCGGGTGGACTGCTTTTGTTTTGGGTTTTGGAGGCGGGGGAACCCCATCTGCTTGCTCCCCAAATATCCACAACAGGCAGGGCCGGGGCAGGTAATTAATCTGGGTCTCCCACACGGGCGGCAGGGACCCAAATCCTGAGCCATCGCTGCTGCTTGCCAGGGTCAGCTCCAGCAGGGGGCTGGAGGCCGGAGCTGGAGCGGGGGCCACACCCAGGCGCTCCAGCGTGCAACCTGGGGCTCCTTCCTTGTTGTTCTTGTGACATTCATTTATTTGAAAGAGTTGCAGACAGAAATCTTCTACCCACCGGTTCACTTCCCAGATGGCCACATCGGCCAGGACGGGGCCAGCTTTTTCCAGGTCTCCCACATGGGTGCTGGGGCCCAAGCACTTAGGCCACCCTCCAGTGCTTTCCCAGGCCATTAGCAGGGAGCTGGATCGGAAGTGGAGCAGCCAGGACATGAGCCGGCGCCCATATGGGACACCAGTGCCACAGGCAGTGGCTTCACCGGCTGCGCCACAATGCGGGACCAGGACATGGCAATCGTAACCACGAAGCTAAATGCCCATCACACGGACTGGGCTCTTGAGAGTTTTTTTACATTTTTATTTTCATTTTTTATTTAAAAGGTAGAGACAGATACTTTCCATCCTACTGGTTCACCACTCAAATGCCTGCAACAGCCTAGCTGGGCCAGGCTGAGACCAGGATCCTGGAACCCAATCCAGGTCTCCCGTGTGAGTGCGGGGACCTACTGCCTTCCAGGTTCCGCATCCGCAGGAAGTGGAATCAGGAGCAGAGACTCACACCGAGACTCTGGTGTGGGCTGCAGATGCCCCAAGGGATTTCTCTAAGTTTCTACTTGTTTACTTTTCACTTGAAAAGCAGAGAGAGATGTGAAGGTCCACAACAGCTGGGGCTGGGCCAGGCTGAAGCCAGGAGCCTGCAGCTCCATCCAGGTGTCCCCTGTGGGCGCAGGGCCCCAGCAGGTGTAGACGCCCACGGTGTGCACCAGCAGCAAGCTGCAGAGGGAGTGGAGCAGCCCCGAGAGCCGGCGCTCTGAGCCGGGACGCAGCTGTCCCAGACACCTGCCCCTGCACGGCTGTTATCACCAGGGGTACCGGGAGGGAAGGATCCGAACCCTACTTCAGGGTTTGGGACACGGCCCTAGTGTGAGGGCCCAGCCTCTGGAGCCACTGCCCTCAGGAGAGGGGCGGTCACGGAAACAGAGCAGGGACCACCACTCCGCTTCCCCCACCTCTCATCAGAGGCTGACCCTGCGCCCACCCCCCAGCCCTCGGACTTTGAACCTCAGAACCCAGAGCCGACACAGAACTATCCGCTTCAGCAGGAGCCTGTCAGCTGTCTCGCTATGGCGATGACAGGCTGAGTAGCACGCCGGGTAGTTCTTGACAAAGAACCATTCAGAGACCAAGCTTGAGGACAGTAGGTGGCCAAGGCCAGAGCCCAGGGAGCAGCGGTGGAGGAGCCCCTCATTCCGAGGATGGCAGCTGTGTGGGCAGCAGGGCCGGGGCAGCCCGAGGAGGAGGAGGAGGGGCGGGCAGGAGCCCTCAGGCCAGGCAGACCCCCCACCGCCGCCCCGGGCCAGGACGAAGGGAACCGGGACACGGGCTCACCTGGCCCTGCACGGCTCACCGGCAGCTGACCTGGACGGTCACGGGGACTGCACCCAGCTCTCACCGGCCCAGAGCCCCTGCCCACGGCCCAAGGGTGGACCAGTGACTTGGCCTGACATTGTGAGGTCACACTCCTCCCAGGGCAGGGCAGGAGGGACAGGCACCCCAGGAGGGGCTGGCCGCTGCCTCTCCCCACACAAGAGGAAAGCGGGACCCCGAGGCTGGGGAGCAGGCCTCGCGCCACACCGCCAGGTACCGGGCATCTGCTGGTGTAGAACAAACCATCCTGAACTCAGACGCACGAAACCGGCAACACGCATCCTCTCCCGGCTTCTGGGGCCAGTAGCTGGGCTGGGTGGACCAGCACGAGGCGCGGGCAGCTGCTATCAGGGCTCCAGGGCTGGCATCTGGAGGGGCAGCTGCCACCATGGCTCATTTTAGGCTGAGGGCTGGAGGCCTCCATTCCTGCCCGTGGGCCTCTCCTTCAGGGTGGTCTGTCTGCACGCCACCACTACCGCCCCCTAGCCCCTAGTGATGGGGGGAGGGGGCAAGGGGAGACACACAGCGCACACCCGTGCCCCAAACCAGTGTCTCTTGTACCCAACCCCGGGAGGCTATGCCGTCCCTTCTAAAATTGCCTTGCGTCACAGAGAATGCCCCATCCTGCTGGAATGTGGGAGGGGCCTACACAGGGTTTGAATCCCAGGACTAGACATCGAGGGGAGGGGCTGGTTCCCACAGCTGGCCAAGCCCAGAGCCAGGACGCCACCCACAGCTAGGAGACAGAAGCAGACGGGCAGGCCCTGGGTCAGAAAGCCGGGCGGGCGGCTGCCCATGGCGGGTCTCCCACCTCGACCCACAGCTGCTCAGAGGGCTCTGGAGGTGGGCACACAGGCTGGGGAGCAGAGAGCCGCGGACTCCAGCCTGCCCTCCCGCCTCTGCCCGAGGCCCTGGCCATGAGGCCTGGGCCCCCAGCGTGTCTGCGGCTGCGTGGGTGCGGGATGGATGGCCAAGGGAGCCAGTGTGTTTCCAGCCACCTGGGCAGACATGCTCCTACGTCAGAGGTGCCGGGAGACACACGTGGGTGTGAGGGCGAGCAGCCCCACCCTAGAGCAGGCTAATGCTAAAGGCCGGTCAGGGCGCCCGTGGCGGACAACCCCCAACACTGCCGAGAGGGGTGAGGGCAGGGAGCCGGTGTCTCCTCCAGGACTGGCTGTCGGCCCTGGGCCCGTCCACAGGGTAAGGTGGGCAGAGTATCGGCCTCCCCAGAGACCTCACACCCTCAGCCGCCCCTTGGTTGTGTGTCCAACCTAGAGCAAGGGGCACTGCGGCCACTCGTCAGCTGACCGAAGCACATGGGCCCAGGGGCCCGCATCCCATACGGGCGTCTGTTGCAGTGTCCGCCGCTCCACGTGCCGTCCAGCTCCCCGCTGTTGTACCTGGGAAGGCAGCAGAGGACGGCCCGAGTCCCCGGGCCCCTGCACCCACCCGGGAGCCCTCGGTGAAGCTCCTGGCTTCAGCCTGGCCCAGCCCTGGCCATTATGGCCTTTTGGGGACTGAACCAGCAGAGGGAAGATCTCTCCCCCACACCCCAGTTTCTCTGCAGCACAGACACACAGCATAGCCAGGATGAACCAGTGGCCCTGACCCACTCACCGAGGTCCCTGAGAGATGAAGGGGAGTCAGCCAGGGCTTGGCGGGACATGTGGTGACCGCCGGCCCCCGCTGCCCTCCAAGGGGAATGCGGCAGTCACAAAGCTGCTCCCACCTCCACACTACAGAACCAGAGTGCCAAAGCCCCGCTCCCAGCCTCCTGTCGTGGCCAGGCCCAGGTCAGGGAAGGAGTTGGCCCGTGTGTCGGATAGCAGGGCTCTGGGCACCTCCTGACACAGCTGACACAGAAGGGGCAATACCCCCGAGCAGAACGGCCAGTCTGGGAGTGCGCCCTCTGCAGGCAGGAAAGGGGGGCAGGCCACTTCGTTCCACCCACCATGGCCATCCCCAGTGGGGCCCACCCGCACTCCCCACCAACTCCAACCAGCTCCGAGCTGGGGCAGGCCCGAGGGAACGAGCGGGCATGGCACAAGGGCCGGCCGCGCTTCCAAGGTTTGGAGGGCAGAAGCCCCGCTCCCGGGCCTCCGCGGTACCCTCCCGACGCCAATCAGGATTGGTCCTCGGGAAGCCCCGCCCAGCCACAGTCCTTCCCAGGCCAGCCCACGGTGGCCGCCCGACCTCACCGTGAGCACCGCGCAGTCTCCCAGCCCCTTCTGCCCGAATCGCCCCACGGCCCACGAGGCCCGGAGGACGGAAGAGTAAAAACAGCCGCGGGCCGGTCAGCTCCAGGACTCGAACCCTCCCACTTCGCTCAGCTCCGTGCGCCTCCAGGACGGAGCGTGTGATCTCGGGCTCGGCCGCCAGGGGGCACCCGCACCGCAGCGCTCCCTCCCACCCACGCGCGGGACTACACGGCCGCGATGCTGGGAGCAAGCCAGGGCCTCCTCCGCACCCCACCCGATTCTCAAGCCGGTGACTCAGGACACCTGGCGCCACCTTCCCCTGGGCCCGTCATGGACGCACTGACATCCACAACCAGGGGACACAAGCTCCTGGACTCCGGGTCTCTCCGGGTCGCTGGCCCAGGGTGCAGCAGGGCGGTGCCGGGGCGGGGGAGGGGCAGTCTCATTTCCGGAAGAGGGTGGTGGGGATGGTTGCACAAGTGTTACTCAGCGACACTGACCCATACACTGAAAAACGACCAAAATGGCAAATTTTGTTATATATATTTTATCACAATTTTTAAAAATGGACTGCCAGTTTTCTCCTGAACTGCAAATCAAATCCAGACGCCCAGCACAGGTCCAGAGCCCTGCCCATGCCTGGCCCGGCTGACCCCTCTCCGTGCCCTGCAGCGGAAGGAGGTATGTGGTGGCACCAGGTGGAACGGGGCAGGCGGGCGGGACCCCAGCGTCTGGCAGGAGTCGGCCTGGGGGCCGTTCCCTGCCACCTTCCACGGCGTGGCACCTGCACCTCAGGTCCAGAGCCCAGGGGCATGCTGCTCACGGGGGGGCACGCAGGCTGAGACCCCGACCACAGGTGCCCCATGCCCGGGGGCCCTCCCTCAGGCCCCAGCAGCCAGGCCCTGCCTGACTGGTTCTCCCCAGGCTGCTGTCCACTTTTATGGCTGTGGCCTGGACAGCCGCAGGGCAGGGAGATGTGTCCACCCCTCCTGCGCCGAGCACTGTGTGGCCCACTCAGGACTCTGTGTGGAGGACGCTCCCAGCCCTCAGGGTCTGGCCCCGTCACAGCCGTCCGCTGAGACAGGAGGTGCCCAGGCCTTCCGTGTGAAGAGGCGAGGCTGGGCGAGCCACAGGGCGCAGCGCGGGGTGCAGTGGAGAGGAGACATCAGAGAATGGAATCTTGCTTACCCACGGGGGAAAGGTGGTGGGACGGAGCCCTGGCCCCCACACCCAGAACTGGGCTCCGGGCCTCCCCTCTGCCGCCGTCAGCTCAGGCGCCAGAGGGCAGCTGCCTCCGTCCACACTCCCTGTCCACCCCCAGCTGTGCGCCGCGACCCCACCCCCTCCCGGGAGCCTGTGGACGGGCTGGATTCCAGCCACCCCTGCACCTGCAGACCCCTCCAGGAGGGCCTCAGGGCCACAGCAAGCAGCAGCTGAGACAAGGAGGGCCCCGCAGGGTGCTGGTCTCCAAGCCCCCGCCAGGGTGGCCGCACAAGAGGGCGCCTTCCCCGCACGCCGGCCCTCCTCTCCCGCCGACCTCCTCGGTCACGGCCCGGCTTCCTCTGCCTGCCACACCAGCTCGCCCGCGATGTAGGTGGCCTGCACGTGGAGGGCATCGTCCAGCACCACGAAGTCTGGGGAGAGCCAGGTGGTCAGGAGGGGCGGGGCTCCCCACCCCCGACCCCTCACAGGCCGGCAGGGCCCCTGGAACCGGCGCCTGGCCCCGTGCCCGCCCCACACCGGGCCGCACCTGCATCCGCACCGAAGTCCAGGCTCCCCTTGCTCTTCTCCAGGCCGAGCAGCTGGGCGGGGTGCAGGGACGCAGCCTCCAGGGCGGACTCCACACCGCAGCCTGCTCCAAGCACAGCGGCCGTGAGCCCGGCCCGCGCGCCTCGCGCAGCCAGCGGGTTAGCCAGCGCCCCTCTGAGCCCTCTGCTCGAGCCCCGTGGTCACTCCAGCTCCGCCGGGCCCACAGGGAGCGACGCCTCCGCCCCGCCACGTCGACCACGTCAACAAGCAAGACCACGTCAGCCTCAGCCGTCTCCCGTCCACCCGCTCACACCACCACTGGGCTCGGGTAAGCCACCTCACCTCCCACCCGGCACAGTGGCCGCCAGAGACCCCGGCCAGGCCTCCAGGGTGCCGGGGCTTCACTGTCCTCTCAGCCGAGAGCGCTCTATGGGCAGGGCCCTGGCCACACTCCCCCCGCACAGGCAGACGCCTGTAGGGTGCAGCTTCCCCCGGTCTCAGCTTCTGCCCCACACCCGCTCACGCGCACGCCTCTCACTGACCCGTGGCCTGCAGGAAGTGCCGGACACACGCGTCCATGGGAGCTATGCTGCCACTCAGTGTCGTGGTCCCTGGAGAGCAGAAAGGCCAAGTGCTGGAGGGATGTGGGCCACCGGGGGTGCTGGCAGGGGCTGGGCGGCTTCCCTCCTGCGAGGGGCCTGGGGCCTCTGTCACCCACTCACCTGCCACGTAGGCCGTCAGCCCGTCCACTTCAACCTCCTGCTGCCCTAGTGTGTGACGGCCATTGCCCAGGCCCAGGGCAGGGACGGCGTCGGTGACCAGCACCAGTCCTGGGGGAGGAGGGGCTTCAGGACCTGGCCAGCCCAGGCCTCCCTTCTGCCCAGCCCGCCAGGCAGCTCACCCTGGGGATGGGCCCGGTGGGCAACTCGCAGGGCAGCAGGGTTGGTGTGGGTGCCATCGGCAATCATCCCGTAGAAGATGCTGCGGCCAGGCGGCAGCTGGTCACTGGTCAGGAGCCCCACGATCCCGGGGTCTCTGTGATGGAACTGGCAGGGCCACGAGAGGGAGTGGCTGAGCGGCAGCGGGACCCGGCCCCAGCCCTGCCCAGGGCGGGGTGACACTCACGGGCAGCATGGCGTTGAAGAGGTGCGTGATGAAGGTGGCCCCGCTCCGCACGGCTTCCTCTGCTGCCCGCAGGTTGGCCACCGAGTGCCCTGTGTAGGGGGGACTGGGCTCAGACCCCGCACCTGTCCTGGGAGCCAGAGGCAGACACCCCCCCCAGCCCGGGAGACCCGCTCACCTAGGGACACGCAGATGCCACGGGCCGTCAGCGCCTGGATGACCTCACGGCTGCGGCCCAGCTCAGGGGCCAGTGTCACGATGCGGACGTTGTCCAGGGACCCGTAGGTGGCCAGCACATCGTGGAAGCCGTCAGCCTCAAAGGAGCGCAGGTGGGCCTCGGGGTGCGCACCCCGCTTCTCCCGGCTGATGAATGGGCCCTCCAGGTGCACCCCTGGGGGAGGGGAGCGAGGGTGGTTCCGGCAGGCACCCCCACTGCGCAACCTCGCCCTGGCCCTGGTGCCCGCCCTCCCTCCCCAACTGGGCATCTGGGGCAGGGCGGGGGCCTCCCGGGGGGGGGGAGTCAGCCACTCACCGAGGACCCCTGCCCCATGGGGACCACCACTCTTCACGGGGATCTGAGGAAGGACCTGGGGGGAACCAGCTGTTAAAGCCCCGCCCCCACAGCCCAGTGCCCAGAGGTCAGGACGCAGCCACCAGCAGAGGCCCCAGGCGGAGCGCAGGCCGCAGGGCCCAGTACCCAGCCCAGCCCCCCGGCTGCCTCTCAGCTGTTAGAAGATAATGGAGACCCCCTCACAGTAAGGGAAGCAGATCTCTCGGAGGCTTCCAGACTTGTTGTCTGCAACAGGAAGAGACGACAGAAGGGGCACCGATGACCTCCCCTGAGGCCAGGAGGGGACACTGATGACCTCCCCTGAGGCCAGGAGCGGGGACACTAGATGACCTCCCCTGAGGCCAGAAGCGGGGGCACCAATGACCTCCCCTGAGGCCAGGATAGGGGACATTGGATGACCTCCCCTGAGGCCAGGAGCGGGGGCACTGATGACCTCCCCTGAGGCCAGGAGCGGAGGCACCAATGACCTCCCGAGACCAGGATAGCGGACATTGGATGACCTCCCCTGAGGCCAGGAGCGGGGACACTAGATGACCTCTTCTAAGGCCAGGAGCGGGGGCACCGATGACCTCTCCTGAGGCCAGGATAGCGGACATTGGATGACCTCCCCTGAGGCCAGGAGCGGGGGCACTGAGGTGGCCCCATCTGGGCAGCAGCTTGAAGCCACAGGGCCCAGGCCACGCAGGACGCCTGCAGGCGGCGCTCTCGGCACAGCTGGACAGGGCTCAGCACACGGGGCAGCCCACGCGTGGCGGGAGCCATGGGCAGGGGGAGGCCAAATGACCCAGCCACACTGTCACGCCCACCACAAACTCGAGGAAGGGGATTAAGAGATTCAGAGGACGACGAAAGGCCGTCACACTCGGGGCAGGACACAGGGCGCCGGGAGCCCCGGAGGAGACGGCCTCGTGCTGGCACAAAGCGGGGTGCTGCAGCTTCTCCAGCCGCTCCAGCAGAGCAGCTGGGCCCCTGCAGCCCCCTCCCCAGGGCTGTGCCCGCCCTGCACAGCAGGGGGCTCTCCCAGCAGGGGGCCGCCCCGCCTCTTCCCCTGCTGGAGGCGGATCTGAGCGGCCCAAGGGGCCGGCTGCTGCGGGGGTCCGGCAGCCTGTGCTCGGAGCACAGCACCAAGTTTCCCGGGAGCGTGGAAGCTTCCAGAGAAAATAGCTTGCAGCCAGCAGACACAGGGACGCGGCAGCACGGCCGCCCTCCGGGCAGGAAGAGCCCTGCCTTCCACGAAGCAGGACGACGCTAGGAGAAAGGAGCCGGGCCCCCATCCCACGCTGCAGACCCCTCCCCAGGCCTGGCTGCTGCACTTCCAACCTGCTCCCTGCGGATGCACCGCCCGAGTGCTTGGCCCCTGCACCTGTGAGGCACCTGGAAGGAGTCCCTGGTTCCCGGGCCTGGCCTGCCCCTGCCTGCCTACTGCAGTCATTTGGGGAGTGAACCAGCAGATGGAAGCCGTGTCTGTCTCTCCTCCTCTCTCTGTCCCTCCACCTTTAAAAATAAACAAACTGAGGAAAGGGAAAGAATGAGAAAGAACAGCAGGTGCACACACGCTCAGGGGTAAGGGAGCACCTCCCGCACACGGGCACCAGGGCGAAAACCCAGGGGGAACGGAGGCCAGCACGAGGCACCGAGGCAGAGGAGCAGCTGAGCGCCGGTGCGGGGCCCCGCGACGGCCACGGGATCCCAGGATTCCACGCGCGCAGAGACCGGGTACGAGAGCCTCAGAAAAGGAATTCAAGAAGAGCCACGATGCTGAACTGGAGGCCGGCTTCCCAACAGCCAGGCAAGCGGGTCAACAGCCCCAGTCCCTGAGCCTCAGGACTCGGGGACACGGGACAGACCCCAAGCTTCCAGAGGGAGGAAAGAGGCCCCCACAGACGGCCGGGGGTCACCTGCCTTCCGACTGCTCAGCAACCTTGGAAATGAGAAGACAACGCCACGTGGCCTGGAGAAGTCTCCTGGGGCAGAACTCCGACCCAGCCACATCCGGGACCCAGGTCCACACCTTCAGATCCCTGCCACCTCCCGCGAGCGAACAACCCCAGAATGAGGGCAGAAGCCGGCAAGCAGCAGGCACAGGAGCTCGGAGCCAGGAGCCCAGGCCGAGCGCGCGTCAGACAGCCTGGCCCTGGAGGGCACCGCAAGCGGCACCACCCGGCATGCATGAGCCGAGTGCTCTGAGCAAAGAGCGTTCCCTCCGCGTTCGGCAGGGACTCAGGTGTGCAGACGTGAGAGCTGGGGGCTCCTGCATGGGCCCCGGGGGCTGACTCATCAGAACCACAGGGAGGGGTCCGGGAAGCAGGAAACCGTCCCCAGCTTCCTGGCATGGAGCACAGGCCGCCCTCAACCAACATCTCCGCTGAGCGCACAGCCCCAAGGGCAGCGGGCAGGCAGATGCCGTGTCAGCTCAGCCATGGATGACCCCGGCCACAGCCAAGTTCACCAAAGAGTTAAAGAAAAGAAAGGCCGCATCTTCAAGACTGGAGCTCTAAAGGGGAAACCAGAACACCAAGTGCAGAGAAGGGGGGAGGGCGAGGCACACGCAGGGCAGGGGAGCAGCTGCTGAGGTCAAAGTGCAGGGGCTGCCGGCCCGCGGGGTGCCTGGCCCGGCTGCAGCTCCCAACAGAGCAGGAAGCAAAGGACAACGTGATAAGATCTGCCTCCCAGACCCAGAAAAGGGCCAGATCCTCCGGCCAGGGAGCAGCGGGAGTCCACGCGCCCTGCGCAGGCCCAGAGGAGGGCGGGTGTGTGATGGGGGGAGGAAGCCCAAAGGGGGCCTCTGGCCTCAGGGCCGCTGCTGGGATTCCATTTTCCCTTCCAAGGCGTCCCTGCCTCCCAAGCTCCCGACAGCTCTGCCAGGTCCGTGCACCGGCACGGGTGCTGGGGGAAGGCTCACGCTCCACCTGCCCGGGGAGAACAGCCGCAGTCAGCGCCAGCGGGGCGAGATCAGCAGAGGGAGGCGGCGTGGGGGCGGCCAGGGCAGGCCCAGGCCTTCCAGCCAGAGCTGGGGGCGCAGGAGTGCAGGCCTGGAATGCGCCCGGGGAGACAGGCAGGAGGGGAATGCAGCCGGGTGGGGGCAGGGCACCCGTCCCAGGAGGGCCTCCGGCAGGACCCAGGAAGGGGAGCTGGGTGCTGGGTTGGAGTTCTCTGTGGCGGCACAGCTGGGCCTTGACCCGCCCAGGCTGAATGCGGCCTCTGTTCTACAGCACCCAGGGGGCTGCACCGGCCCAGCGCCGTCCCTGGCCCTGCTCTAGGTTTGAGGAAGCCTGGGCTCAGGCAGGAAGAAGGCTGTGCCCAGTCTCCGGGCCCCCTGCTGCGTCCACACACCCAGGAAGGGACAGGCCGGCGGAGCAGCCAGTCCCCGGTCCTGCAGCAGATCCAGCACCTCAGCCCGCTAAACCTCCCCCCCCCCCCGGCTGTGCTGTGGGTGCCCAGGCCACCCACAAAGCCCCAACAAAGAGGCCCTGCCCAGGAACCCTGGGTGAGCACGAGTGGGAAGCCGGGGAGTGGCCCTTTCTGGGAGGCTCATTCCACTGAGTCACAATTCCCAAACAGGCTGGGGAAGAGGGGCCCCACCAGGCCTCCCGCTGTGGCAATCACGAAGGCCGTGGGCTGAGGGTGGGGCTGGGGCAGAGGAGGGCGCTCAGACGGCACAGGTGGGGCCGGGAGACCTGCAAGGGCGCGGGCAGGTGAGGCGGGATCCAGGCCCCCGACCGTGCCCCCCGGGGGGCGCAGAGCAGACTGACCACGAGGGGGCTGGCGGGCTCCTTCCCGCAGGCCGGGAGCCTGGCCTCACCTTGTGATAGACCTCTGGTGGAGAGGTGACCAGGGTGGGGCAGAAGGAGGTGACGCCGTGCGACAGGATCCTCCGGGCCACCAGGGAGACCCCTGAACCCACGTCCTCCGTGGCCTGGGAGAAATCAACACCAAATCCACCTACGGCCACAGAAAGGAAGGGGTCGCACGGGGCTCACGGCTGCCCGCCCGCGCCCCGGCGCCCGCCCCGCCCCGCCCCGCCCGGGCCGCACCGTTAATCTGCACGTCGATGAAGCCCGGCGCCAGGATGCGGCCTCCGCAGTCCCGCTGCTCGTCCGCCACGCGCCGCTCCTCAAAGAACAGCTTCTCGGGGTCCAGGATGCGGCCCCCGCGCACCCACAGGTCCTCCCTGCGGAGCGGGACCGAGCGGCGGGCGCTGGCACCGCCGTCCGCCCCGCGGCCCGCCCGCGGCCCGCCCCCGGCAGGGCCCCCACGCCCACCTGAGCAGCGCCCCGCCGCGCAGGATGCGGCAGTTGGTGAACTGGAGCACCGGAGCCCGCGCCGCGCCCTGCCCGCCGCGCATGGTGAGCCGCTAGACGCCGGCGAGCGGGCGGCGCCGAGCCCCGCGGCCGCCGCTCCCCGGCCGCGCCACGTGACCCTCAGCTGACGGCGCCGCGTCACGTGACCGCCGCGCGCACGTGACCCGGCGGCCCACGTGACCGCCGCCGCGCCGTGACGCGGCTGCCCGGGCCCGCCCCGCCCCCGCGCCCACAGCAGCGGCCAGGACACAGGCTCCAGTCACATCCGAGAGCTTTATTGGACACCGCGCCGGCGCCACGCGGCCCCGGGCGCGCCGGTCTCGGCACACGGGACCCACGGGGCGACACTCTACCTAGGGTCACTACAGCGTTGGGAGGCAGGGCTGCTCCACAGACGTATGGACAGGTCAGGTCTCGTATAAATAAACATCCAGTGAAGAGAAATGACAACTGCGATTCATCCTCAAACACAGCACTCGAGGGCGGGGCTGATGGGGGCGCGCGGCCCAGATGTCCACAGCACAGGGCGGGGCGAGGCGGGGGCGACGGACGAGGGGCACTAGGACACTGCGCATTTACAAGACCAACTACTGAGGGGCGGCTGCCCGTGCATGGTCAGGCTGTTCATTCTGGAATGAGGGGGCGTCGACACCGTGCTCTGGCTGGTGGGTGCGCAGGGGGCTACTTTGTGGACAGGATGAGGGCGACGATGAGACCGTAGAGGCCGAGCACCTCGGCGAAGATGAGGATCAGGATCATGCCCACGAACAGCCGGGGCTGCTGGGCAGTGCCCCGCACGCCGGCGTCGCCCACGATGCCGATGGCAAAGCCAGCTGCCAGGCCGCTCAGGCCCACGCTCAGGCCCGCGCCCAGCTGCAGGAAACTCCTAGGGAGGAGAGGGCGGAGCGAGGTCAGCGGCCGGCGGCGGGCCGGGGGGCGCGCCCAGCCCCGCACTCACCGGTAGAGGCTGATGCCGTCGTTCAGGGAGTTGGCGATGAGCACGGCCACCACCAGGCCGTAGATGGCGATGATGCCGGCCATGACCACCGGGATGATGGACTTCATGATCATCTCCGGCCGCATCACCGACATGGCGGCGATGCCAGTGCCGCTCTTGGCCGTGCCATAGGCGGCACCCAGGGCTGTGGGAGGGAGGCAGGGTGAGCCCAGAGCTGCCCACTAATCACTGGGGTCAGGACCCTGGGGGAGGGGCAGGAGGCAGCCCTCAGGACAGAGTGCCACAGGGGTCGCCACTCTCCCTCTGGCTCAGCCACGGAACCCCGGCCCTGCTCCGGGTGAGCCTCAGGCGACTGCCCGTGACCTCAGGAGAAGGGCAGGTGGGCCCAGGAACCCTGTGTTGTCTGGTTCCCCAGGCCCTCAGGACAGGTCGGGGAAGGCCCGAGTTCACGTCTCTGCAGCCCAGGTGTTGGGCCTGCGTCAGCCAGCTGGCTTCCCGGGGTGCGGCCCCAGGCCGGGCGCAGCTGCTCTGCCGAGTCTGACCTCCAGGACGGGGGTGCCCAGCCTGCCGCCCCCTCCCAGAGGGCCCGCTGGGGCTCCCGGGGGTCTGCTCAGCAGTGTGAGGCGGCCTCCTCCCGACACCGCAGCCGTTGGGAAGGCCGCTGCTGGCCGGAGCAGGGGGCACCGGGGATGCTCGCAGCCATTCCTCTGCGCCCCGGCAGTGCCCGGCAGTGCCGTCCCGGGGTCCAGAGCCCGGCGACCTGTATGCGCAGCACCTCAGCAGACGGGGAGGAGGTGCTGAGGGGCCGGGGCGGTGGGGGGAGGGGCCCTGCCTCACTGGGGCAGCACCTTCAGCCGGGGACTCAGCATCATGGCGGATGTGGGGCAGGCCCAGGCCCACAGCACTGCCCACACCCAGGCTGCCGCAACACCCCTCCGGGAGGATCCTGGGAGAGGTGCAAGTGTCATGTGGCTGTGGGTGGAGAGACCAGAGGAACAAAGGCAGCAGGGCAGGGAGGGCCCGAGCAGCAGGAGGCAACAGCGGCCCAGGCCTGGGCAGCCCACGCACGTCCAGGAGGGCCCCGGGCCCGACCAGGCGCCAACAGCGGGCCTCCTGTGGGGGCCGCAGAGGAGTCAGGAGTTCCGGAACCACCAGCAGGTAGAGGGTGCCCACAAGGAGGAAGTCATGAACGTGGAAGGAGAGCCAGTGACAGCTCTGTGGAAGACATGATGGAGGCTTCGACAGGGTGACAGTCATAAGACAAAAGGGGAAGCCGCATGTGACCCGGGCAGGGCCTTGTGCAAGGCAGGCCACGGGCTGGAGCCTGCAGTCGGCCGGCAGCGACACCTGGGCGCACGCGCGGACACGGAGCCTTGGAGAGGCCCCTAGGCCCGCAGAAGCGAGGTCTGAGGCGGTCCATCTGGCCCGAGAGCCTGGCCTCCACGGGCCTATCAGCCTGGGGCAGCTGGAGTGGAGCTGAAGCCAGCGGCCGCCCGCCCTCAACCACGGCCTCGCGGCACAGACACCACGTGCAGGGCGTGGACGGAAGGCGGCCGGGGCGCCGGGGCCACCTGGACAGGGGTCCTGCTGCCCCAGGACCCCATCAAGGGCTGCCGAATGAATGACCACCCGGTGGCCAGGGCAGCATCTCCATAGGCGCGGGGGCGGGGCGGCCCAGCAGTCTGTCCCGAGGAGCCGCCTGGGGAGAAGGGGAAGTCTAGACCACAGCAGCCCCGCCACAAATGACCCCTTCTCCCCGCAGGCTGGGAGGGGCGGCCGCTCGGCATCCCGTGACGCCCGGCAGGCCCAGGAGCACCCCGGCCCCCGGCCCACAGGTGTTTACAGTCAGCAGAGGCTGTTTGGAGTTCAAACCCTCCGCATACCTGCACCGGGAGGGTGCGGCAGGGCGGGCCGGGGCAGGGTCAGTGAAAACCTCGGGGAGGGGGGAGGCCCAGGCCAGGCCAGGCCACAGGGGCTGCGACCTGGGTTCACACTCCCGGCCTGGGCTCTCCAGGACCCTTCATGCCCAGCCTCAAGCGCAGGGCCCCCAGGCCCCCAGCCCCCCACCCCGGGCTGGGCGGAGGAGGAAGGTCATTCACTCCGTGTCCATTCATCAGGTCCAGGAGGCCAGACTCCCGCCCGAGGCGCACGGCCGGCAACGCGCATGCCCCGGGCCCCCCTCGCACCCACCTCCCGGCACTGACCCCCGGCAGCCCCTCCACTCAGCTTTCCCACGCAGCCCACACAGACGGCGCGACTGGGAAACCGAGCCGAGCCCGAACCGGAAGCACCTGACCCGGGTCCAGACCCACCTGCGCCTCGCCATCCGAGCCGCCACAAAGGCGCGGCCGCGGACCCTCGCGGGAGGCACAGGCTGCCTGCGGCCAGGGCAGCGCCGGGGACGCCCCCGCCGCGCCGGGCGCCGGGGGCGGGGAGCTGTCCGAGGTGTGATGTCACACCTGCCCCCAAACGGGGCCGCGCAGAGCGGGCGCAGCGCCGCGCGCCGCCCCCCGCGCCCCCACCCCAGCCTCCCTTTCGCCTCCCGGGGCTAAGATGGCAGCGCCGCCGCCCCACCCCCGCACTGACGCGGCCCGGCGGGCAGAGCCGCGGGCACGGGACCCCCGGGACCCCCGGGACCCGCACCCTGGGCAAGCCTGCACGCCCCGCTCGCCGGACACTCGACCCCCGCCCGCCGTCCGGCGAAGCCCGGGCACCCGCGACAGCCCGGGATTGCGTCAGAGTGACGTCACACGCCGGACCCCGGCGAGCTGCGGGCACGAACC